CCCTCCGCCACTCTCCCTCTCCCGCTCCCTCTCTCTTTCTCTCTCTCGTTCTCGTTCTCGTTCTCGTTCTCGTTCTCGTTCTCGTTCTCGTTCTCGCTCTCACTCTCGCTCTCTGCTTTCTTCCTTTTTACTTACAAGGTTCTTCCGCCGGCAGCTTGCAAACAAGACAAGTGTCCATAAGGGATACGCCATCTAACCAAGACGTCCACAAATTTGATTTTAGTGGGTAGGGGAAAACCACGCATGAATCCCTTTACAGCTGTGCAGTGCGTGGATGACGGCAGCCTATGTACACACGCACTCAGCATCACAGCGTGAGCAGAGATGACGGTCTGGTTGCACCTCCGCGCCATGCCGCGTGGCCTTTACGGAGGCGTCTGACGCGGTTTCGCCGTGTTCGGCAGGGCGACGGCGTGGGCGGTGCGGCAGCTGCACTACTCCCAGTTCCAGGACTGGGAAAACTTCCTGTACGTCGAGCCGCGCATCCTGTCCGAGGCCGCCAAGTGGCTGACCCTGTACCAGAACGAGGACGGCTCCTTCTACGAGACCGAGGCGTACGAGTTCCCGCTCGACCAGAAGATGGACCCGCGCTCCAAGATCCCCGGCGAGACGAACCGCAAACGCTACGTGCCGCTCACCGCCCACGTGCTCATCACGCTGCACGAGGTGCAGGAGAAGCTGCAGGGTGAGGCGAAGGCAGCAGTCGCCACCGCCAAGATCCGCGCCATGCAGTACCTGGAGCGCAGCCTGAACGTGCTGACCGACGCGTACGAGATCACCATCACGGCCTACGCGCTGACCGTCAGCAACAGCGTCGACCGCGAGGTGGCGTTCATGAAGCTGCGCGAGGCGCGCCGCGAGATCGAGGGCATGTACTACTGGGCGCGCGACCCGCTCGAGACGAACCCGGTCAGCAAGGACGTCAACCAGCGGCCCTACGTGGAGCCCAAGAACGAACAGCCGTGGGACGCGCAGTCGGTGGAGGCGACGTCGTACGGCCTGCTGGTGTACCTGCTGCGAGACGGCGTCGGCATCGACCAGGAGAAGATGGTGAAATGGCTCAACTCCATGCGCATGTTCGACGCCGCCTGGATCTCCACCGTGGTGAGTAGCGGCCGGCGGGACTCGCGCTGCCTCCGCACGAGTGAGAGCCTGGGCCAGGCGCGAGGCAAGACGGGTCAAGATCAAGGCAGCCACGGTACCTGGCCACATGAATGCGTGCTTAGTTTTAGCTTATTTGGAATGGTACGTATTGTGGGGTAAAGGGAAGTGATGCGAAAGGTTGGAGGAGCCCCGCGTCTCCAGCGTAACCTAAATATACCGGAGAAACGGCCTAGAAAGCTACACTGATAAGGCAACTAGTCCACACTGGGTTCCGAGTCCCTGCAGACTGCAGCGGGCCGCAGCCCCACGCGGCCTCCAGGTGTCGGCAGGGCGCCCCGTGACGTCACTGAGCGCCTCCTCCCCGCGCAGGACAGCATCATGGCCATGCAGGCGCTCACGGAGTACTCCTTCCGCGCGCGGCTGCGTGACATTACCGACATGCAAGTCTACATCGAGACCTCCGGCCTGAGGAATTTCCAGGAGGTGGTCCGCATCACCAACAACGCCACCTCCGTCATACCGGCTGTCGAAGTAAGATCTGGAGGCCGGGGACGATCGGGTCCAGAGGCAGAGGAATGTCCACCACTTCGCTTAAGTTTACATCGACTTTACCCACGCGATCGTCATGGCTTGATGGCCTAAATTGCACTCTGGTTGGTGCGGATATCGATGAGGGGTTTTGTTTCTCTTGTTTCCAATTGCATTGCTGCTTTGCACTGTTTTATTCCATTACGTTAGCTCATGTGGCGTCAGCCTCACCTGCTCATATGACATTTTGAGACCGCTGTGGCTGACGTTTTAGGGCTCAGAGTACCGCTGTGTCTCGTACTGCTGTGTGCTGTGTCTGGTGTTGCGATGCTATCCTCAGTCTCAATGTCCAAGCCTACGTGGTCAGGGTTATGTTGGCACAACGACGGTAAATCCTACATCGTAACGGAAAATTCTGCATCGTGCGTTTACAGCAAAGGTCGAACCAGGGGCTGTAAATATGCACTCGTCCGTGCTATGCCGTGCTATGTCATGAAACGCGCACCACCTGGAATCGCAATGGTCACGGATGCAGCGGGGGGTTCTCGAATCTGCTACGCATGCGCTTACGCTGGCCACTCCTCGCGCAGCTTCCGCAAGTTTGGGGCCACATCAACGTGGTGGGCCAGGGCGCTGGCCAAGCCGTGGTCCAGCTGGACCTCTCGTTCGGCATCGACCGTGAGGACCTCAAGGACACGCCGCCCGTCAAGGCGTTCGACCTGACGGTGCGCGAGAACGCCCTGCAGGAGGCGCGGAACAAGTCTATCATCCACGTGGAGGCATGCTTCCGGTGGGTACCGTTGCTGTTTGACGTGTGGGAGGACGCCTCCCAGGCGATGGGATCGGTTGTCAGGATCAGGCGGAAGAAAAGGTCGACCTTTCGTCTGGGTAAATGAGTTCTGAGGAGTGGGACTACAGGCCAAATTGTTTGTTGCTAACAACCCGAAATTTGTTTAGCTTCAGTGGCCAGTTTAGTCAGCCCTGCCAAGCACTTTTGCAAAGACTCATGGAATGAATGCAGCTTTCGCCAGCGAACGCTTGTTGACATATGCTCTACTTTCATCACTGATGAACTTGCCTCATAATCAGTACACATAACACCAGTGGCCCTCGTGCTTCGGCTCTTCGAGACGAAGGCCAGCCAGGCTCGTACCGGCATCACTCGGCTTAACCTGGCCCGCAGATGGGTGAACACGGACGAGTCGCCCGTCAGCGGCGCCACCATCTTGGAGGTGGAGTTCCCCAGCGGGTACCGACTGGATCAGCAGGTGGCCAATGCCAACGTGCGCGCGTTCAAGCGCAGACCAATGAACACTCTGATGAACGGGAAAACGGCGCCAGATAAGATCTTCTGGTTCTTCGATAAGGTGCGTTCCAACCTTAGATTCGGCAACGAAGCAGGCTTCCAAACGAAGGCTTCGAGCGGCTGTTAAGTGCGCAGCTTCTCGGTTTGTCACGAAGCCTCTTTTTGTAAAACTCACCGTCGTTAAAGGCGTGGAAGATGTGACAGGTGGCTACTTAAGAATCACCGCATATATTTCGTATCCTGCCTTCCATACCGGAGGTGCTGTAATGCCTCTCGTGCTGCCGAATCAACAGCTGAACCCGCACCTCTGACGGCAGGTTTACAGCAACTTCACTCAGTGCTACAACTGGACGATTTTCCGCCGCTTCCTGGTGGCCAACTACACGGCCGTCAGGACCGCCTTCATGTACGAGTACTTCGCGCCCGAGCGATTCGAGATGCAGATCCTCAACTCGACCGAGCTGAACGTGATCGACATCTGCCAAGTGTGCGGCTCGTACCAGTGTCCCTACTGCCCGTGGTACAGTGGCGCCGCCTCGCTGGGACCCAGCCTGTTGCTAGTTGCGGCCGTGGCCTGCCAGATGGCAGTACTGGCGCTGGGCGGGACGTCCCCGTCAGCGCGGTAGGGCTGGCCGCTGCGTCGTGTGAGCGAGATTGTATGGTGAGAAGGCGGGCTTCCCCCTGCTCGGCGCAGCCCCAGTCACTGGTTGCATGCAGGACAATGTGGTGTTAGCCGTGGTTTGCCTGTCAGGAGTCATCACGCCTGAGCGTATAAAAGCGCCACGTGTTCTGCGTTGGACAATGGTAGACCGAGCGGCTGCGGTTGATGCTGTGAAAACGCATTCCATGTGTTATGGTTTACTCGTGTTTCGACAACATACGGATCTGAAACAGTGCTGGAGCGGGAGTGACTCCGTTCTGCACGATGTCCACCGCTGGCCACAGATCGGGGGCGTGTCCCGAGCGCGGTGGGCCGGTGGCATTCAACTCCCTCGGCAGGTGCTCGACTCACACGTGATGGTGCCGAATCGGAGTGTCCCCAAATCCAGCCGATTCAGCACTGAATGATTTGAATGCGAACATGTCTTTTGCGTCGGCCATTTTGAACGCCTTTTTATGTAATTTTTGTCAGTGTTTTAACAATATGAATTTGTAAATGTTTTATATGTCACAACGGTGCAGAGTGACAGGCGTAGGATGTTAATGGTTGATCTGCAACTCTTCAATCGAAGCGGGCTGAGGCAGAGGCTGGTCCTAAGATGGTGAGCTTCAAGTCTCAGTGTACACAACACCAGAATGAAAGCGACGCATGACATAACAGCATAGCCGAACTGGTTCCGGCCTGGATAACTATTGTTATTCTATGGCTCTCATATTGTGAATCAGGTCGGACACGACCAAGACGTCAGTGGATAATCTCCAACTGGACAAACAAACCCCCAACCCATGAACGAGCCCTACATCTGGTCTTGGCTCATCCTATCGTTGTTCACGCGCAGTGTTTCGTGTCACCGTCAACAACACGCATATCACGCATCGAGCTGCTCGAACACCGCTCTGGTGAAAAACACGGTGGGTAAATAAATCACAGCTGATAGTTGAGTGACACTACGTGAATGGCATGCAATGCAAGTGCTGGTGGCCGTTTATTTGCAAATATTGTTGGTATGTTCATCACATCAAATGAGCGAAACTTGCACTGAGATAATAAAAAAACCTCTGGTGCCAACTGCTGTGTTTCCAAGCCCACTAATGGTCCATGCACATTCGACAGCCCAGTAAGTGTACACATTTGTATTACCAGCGGAGCGAGCTGGAATGCCAGAGCGTACCAGGTCGATGCCATACGATGCGATCTGACGATTGCAGCGATAGTGTGGAATCGTCTCCGAGGCCGGAGAGATCCGAGAGCCAATGATGAGCCAAGCCATGCCAATGCCAAGCCGCCATGCCAAGCCACGCCATGCCATGCCAAGCCGCGTCTGACGGAAGCTTCAGCAGTAGTCCCCCCCCCCCCACGCTTAGACTCCAGCCTCCGCAACGTTGCGACGAGAGTGGGTAAATCCGCGGCAAAACCCGTTCAGTGGCATACTCTCGAGGTGGGTCTCACACATTTAAACTGTTCAGCTCCCGGCAACCCGTTTTGCGAAACACTCCTGTCACGTTATTTGCATCGGGTGGCATCACGAATGGTGTGAAGTCTTACGGCGCGTAGGTACTAGGCGCATTCCAACCACAAACGCAAATGTCTCACGCATGAGGTTTGCCCGTTGCCTCCCCCTGAGGTTTGCCCGTTGCCTCCCCCCCCCCCCCTGAGGTTTGCCCGATTGTCCTCCCCCTGGGGCTTGCCCGTTGCCTCCCCCCATTAACTTTGTGAAGAAAATGGGCTAAATCCGCGGAAAAACCTAATTGTTTTTACAATGTTGGGGTAATTGAGATTATGTCTCACTGTTCAGCCCATCTCCACTAATTTACCTTTTGTAACTACATCCAAATATTCTGTGCGGGTTTGTTTTTGATGAGCCAGTAGTCACTATGTAGTACATTATCCCTACTCACTGTTCCTTACCACCATTGACTGTTATAGGCAAGAACGTCTTTTATGCCAAACCCCAAGCACTTAGTTTGAGGGGATCCGGTGGTAGTAATCTGACCAGAGTCGCACACTTCAAAACACTTGCTTTCGTTTTACTACGTGCAATTTGCGCACCTCGCTCAGCGTCTCTGCCTCCTGATCTTCAACTTAGCCTCCAAGAACTCTTACGGCCATGCTGCCACCGACCTGTTGCGCTGTTATTGTAGCGCCTTGCTTGCCACCCCGGTGTGCATCTATAGCGGCCTAAGATGTTTATGTTTGGTAATTCGGGCACCTAGTAGCTAAGCGGGAAGACTGTCTCATTCGTTTGCTTTTCAGGTTTTCCCCCCGGTGGCATTTTGTTGTCCACCGGAATAAATATGGCGTGTATCAAAATATTAGGTAATTTAGCATGACCACCGGAAAATACACCACAGGCTTGGTGCAAACGCTCTAAAACTACTGCTTACTACACTACGGGTGGGTTCCGGACTACTCACTGATCCAAAATTGACAGCAGGTTTAATCGGTTAACCGCATCAGTAAAATCAAAGCAATAAGAGTGCAGACCGCAAGGAAAACCAAACACCGAGTACCGTTCCCACACGTGTTAGCTGAAAACTAGAGCCGGGTGGGCCGGAGACATGTGACAGTTATCACCGATCATGGAAGTCAGGAATCCAAATGAGAGCTAGAATCTGAATGGAAACAACCTGACTTTATTTGCAAACTTGAACAAACTTTTTTGTTGCGATAGACATGCGATTAAAGTGACCACTGGCACAGTGCTATACAGACCATACGTGGGTCTTGTGATCTGACACACCGTGGTCGTGCGTATTTCCAAGAACAAGTTTATTCGTCATCTATGATGTACAAAGCAAGGTTCCACCGTGGTGATAACCATATTCACACCCAGTCCAGGGCGTGTTGTTCCCAGGCGGCGCCTTACAATATATATATATATATATATATATATATATATATATATATATATACATTTATGCAGGCGTGCGTGCGTGCGTGCGTGCATACGTGCGCGTGTGTGCGTACGTGCATGCGTGCACGTGTGTGTATGTGTGTGTGTGTGTATCATGACTGGAGGTAGATCGGAAGCCTAAAGGGTTATGCAACCCTAGGAAAAGATGCGAAACCGCCTTTAGTTGTTTCTGTACTCATCAGCGACAAGATCATCACATTCAGTACACACTATCTCGAACAGCGGCACAATTTTCGCCAATTGGTGCAAAAGTTGCGGCGTAGGCGCGCTGAAGTCCACTTCTGAGACGGAACACTCGACTATCAACCGCCGTCGCCATAGCAGGCCTCATGAGCACTGTAAATGAGCAGTTCTAGCCGTTACGGCTGATCGGCCAGACGCCATACGCCCTCTGCCCTGCAGGGCTGAAGAGCGTCAGCGAGCCATTTCTGTCTATTGGACGCCGATGCGGGTGGCGCTCTCTGCGGCCTGGAAGTGCCGCAAAACGTAGACTGCTGGCTTGTTGAGCCCGAGGAGCCCCGGCGTCCCAAACAGTCGATACCTTCCGACCACATCGTCCGATCCGGACCAAACCCGATGCGGTGCACCGAACATCGGGCGAAGTCATGAAACTGGCGCTGCGCGCTGACGGATGCCTCCGTTTGCTCTGTCGACGGTGGCGACTCTGCTCCACCCGGTACCGCAGCGTCGCTGGACGCTGAGTTCGGACCGGCGGGACCGGCAGTGTCTGTGTACCACTACGGTTCGGCCACGAGAAGGTATGTCCGCGGTCCTGTGGACCTGAATCTGATGGCCTAGTGACAACTGATCAGTTTGACCAGCCGATGATCCCACGGCGTGAGACGTGGTCACACAGCCGGCCAGTCTTACCACCAGTGGAAAAGAATGGCTATTTTCCAAAAAAAGTGTTCTCCTCCATCCCTGCCTCGTCAAGTGCAACAGACATGTTGATGCCATGACAGGCGTGGTAGACAAATGTGCTGACATGCTCTGGTCACGCCCAAAGTCAGTACATCTAAATGCGCGCGATAACAGAATGCCGGTGACATAGGATGCAGCAGATCTTAATAAACCGTCACCGACCAAACCATGATCTACCGCAATATGGCTGCAATTGGTTCGAGTTTCAGAAAAAGACCGTGACGTGTTTGGTTTGACCTTTACAAATGTGTCGCCGCCTGACAATGGACACGGTAGGTGAAACTTAGCCCGGCGTGGCCGTTTCAACACGTTATCTAGCACCACGCAGCTCTCTCTGCTGACCTCCATGCCAAGCACTGGAGGCGTGATGTTTATTGATGGGTTGAAATTGCAATGGTAGCGGTGGGCTCGGAATACAGGGAGCAAGCGTAGCTTAGTACATCATCTGAACCAAAGCTAGGCAGTGTAAATGCGTGGATACCCGTTGCGGAATTCCAGTTCAATGACGTTTGCTGCCCAACATGCTGGGACGAAACCATCTTTTTCGTAAAAGTTCGTATACTACCGGTGAGCCGATGTTTTCGTCACCATTTGCAGACGTTCCCAGTTAGTCAGCTTATGACAGGGAATTTGTCCCGATGATAATTAACTTAACTGCGAATAAATGCAACGAGCCAACCAGGCAACAGCCACCATAAACGGTAGCATATATAATTAATCCAAACAAACATGAATATGGCTGAAAAACATGTTATTCTCAAGGAGTGTTTCTGTTGTGAGGTTAAATATCAGTGAGTACGGTCAGTATCTCTACGTTAATATGGGCCCGCAGTAGCCGCCCTTCTTACTGGGATGACAGGCTGGCGATCTCATATAATCTGAGCTGCTGAGCGCGTCTCAGAGCCCCAATGACAGGTTCGACATCGGAGCCAAAATGAGGGTCAAATACCGCCAATCATTCCCATGCGCACATATATCCTTAACAATTAAATAGGTACATCATGAAATTTGTCATTCAAACGAAGTGACCCTATTACCTCGCGGATGCACATTTGTATACGTTTTAAAAACGTCATGTAGTACGCATCGTTAGGTGCGAGCACGTATCTCCAAAGCCATGCAGAAACTTGACCTGAATTTATTAGTCAGGTGCTTAGCAACGGAATGCGTTAAGGATACTGCATCTTTCCGGGCGGACCACGACAAACTGCAATCGACGCTCCGAAGAGGCAAAGTTTGACGAGGAGTATCAGGTGGCGACATCATCCAAGAAGAGAGTGGGAGAAACTTGTCGATTTTGGAACCGAGTCCCCAAAATAATTTGTCATAACAGAGAACAAAGCCACGCTTAAAACACTGCCCTAGCGCACACAGTTTGTTGGTTCTTGTCTGAAAAGTGCGAGCCAACACGAATTCTGAAAAACTGATTGGCCTCAAAGATCGCCATTCGAACGTGCCCATGGCTCCACGAACGCCGTAATCAAAAAGCTTCCTCATGATATCGTATCGCCACATAATCTCATAGGTTTTTCAACATCAAAGAACACGGCACCATCACGTCATCTTTCCCTAAAACTAGTGCGTACGTCGGTGTCGAGAGTTATTTGATAATCAGTCGTGCTGCAATTGTCCCTGGATCCACACAGTGCGGCCGTAAAAAACGCTGCACCGTTCTAAAAATGTGGTGAGCGGCATACCTTTCCGCTGCGGGATGCACGCTGTTTTTCGATGTGCGAGTACCGTTTTTGTTCGTTACGTTTGGCTAGGGCATGCGCGCCGTTCGTTCGTTCGTTCCGGACATGCGCGCCAAGGCAATCAATAGGGAGCGGCCCTTTAACAACAGCGACCCGTCGGAGTATGGGCACGTTCGAACAGTACATGGGCACATTCAGACGGTACTGTAACAGTTAGAGTCGGCTGTCGAAGGGACTGACACGGACGCGGTGATGGGATGCCATATCGGCCTGACGCGCCCATGACCGGGTGCTCGGCGCCTACGTCTCGGCAGAATGTAAGCCCGGCGGAGAAATTGCCGACCCTTCGGCAATTTTCTGAGATCTCCGGGTTATTTCCTCTGTTTAGACAATGATGAGTTCTGTATGCCTTTTGACATCACGTGATCGCACATTAGTTCCGCTCTGTTATAAGTCGCGCACTCTTTTCGTGCTTGCATCGCATTGTAGAAATTACCATATATAATATACAAATATGTCGCTAATGTACGTTCCTATATGGCGTGACGACCCTTGCCTGGTATTTCTCTATGCGCTTCAATTAACAGTCTGTAGGAAAACTGCAGATCAATGAATAATGTGCGGCTTGAATTTTGCGGCATGCGACACGGTGCGCCGCAGTCTGGTCCACGTTTACACATCAAATGAATTATCTCGCATGGTTCAGATTTTACGCACAGCTTGGGGAGACTGCCAATTTTCACGACTGCAGTAGAAGGATTTTCGTCACGACGGGCTAAATGCGTCACGGATGCTTTGCATAGTGTCTCCTCGCGGCGAGCGATGAAGAAAGTCCTATGCGGTACGTGGGCAGTTGTCTAGCCGTGGGTTGAAAGGTCCCAATCCCTACAGAAATAAGGGAGGTGGCTGTTGGTCGACCTCTCTGCGACTCACGGATGAGGTGGGACACATTTTTACACGTCGATGTCCGCAAGTGAGAGTAGCAGTAGCAAGCGCAGAGTACCGTTGATAGATTCGCGACTCGAAGAACGTGAGACTCGCTTTTCAGCTGCCTTCTTGGGACTCCCAGAGGGTGGAAGTCGGAAAATGGCATTGGGCTGTCGGAAAAGTTGATCGATTTTCTTCTGTTGGTGGATTAACACGCGACCACAAAAAGAGGTCCGCTAAGATAGCCATGAGTAACTCATCCTGAGCAGCGACAGTGAATTCGTTCACTAAGGGTATCGTTATTAGAATCATTACAGTGACTCCAGAAGGCGAGGGTGGCACATATGAGCCAGTGAGGGATTCCAGCGTGCCGTTGTGTAATTCTGGCGACGAAGTAATATGAGCCGATGCGAGATTCCGGCGTGCCGAGGAGGATCTCGGCATTAATCAGCGACGAGAGAAGATGGGGGCCACGTGGTGGCGCCGCGGCGAGCCTTGCACCAGGCGGCTACTATTTAGTGGGGACGAATGGCGACGTATGCTTGGAGTATGGCTGCAACGTTCCGTTCATAATTGAGAGGATCTGATCATTGCACATGACCTGCACAGACTGTGTGTAGCGACCACACTATAGGGTTCCCTTTAATATGACCGGTGACAAGCGTGCATGAGATGGTGTATATGTACGAATGCTAATTGCGGAATCCCAGTAAAGCGACGTTTGCTGCCCACGTAAGGACGAAAGCATCTGTTTCGCAGAAGTTCATGCACTGTTGGTGAGCCAATGTTTTCGCCACCATTTGCAGTCGCCCCAGTTCGTCGGTTTATGACGGGGAATTGCCTCTGCAGCTAATTTACCTGCAGATCAATACAGTGGACTAACTAGCTAACAGCCACCATCAACAATGACATGCATGATCAATCCAAGCAAATACACGATTATTGCCGGTAGACATACACTTCCAGAGAAGCTTTTCTTTCGTGAGGTTGATATGAGTAAGGCCACCATCTCTAGAAAGGTGCTCATAACATTATACATCACACAACATCATGTGCGAGTACGTAACTTCAAAAACACACAGGAACTTCATTTAGATATCGAGTCCGTCACAGCGCTTGTTGCTTTTATGCAAGCTGGGCTGTGTGAATCTCGTGATTGCCGTTTGGTGTCGGTGAGAAATCCCTCGGGTGGGCATAACAATATTGTGAAAAAGCAGGAACCTTTACCCCGACTTACGCAGAGAGCAAAAAAAAAAAATCAAGTTGAAGGAAACGAGAGCGATATATGGAAAAACTACACGTAACATAATGGTGACCAGCATGAAAAATGCCGCCTGAGAGGAAGAGGAGAAAGCAAGAATCTTGTCGGAAATCTTGACTAACGAAAAGTGAAAAACCGCGCGTAACATGTCGCGCATCTTAACTAAAAATGTAACTGAAAAGCCGCGCGTCACAAAAACCACGGTCAACGTACATTTACCACGCCTTCCATCAACTAACAAAGGCACGATGTTAATACGAAAGGGCGATAGTCGGCAAGGTCAGCCCACTTTTTCTGGGTTTGAGCAAAAGAACAATGTATGACAGCCGCCAATATTCCGGAAAGCCCCCAGTCGCCCGCAGTCTGTTGTAGGCTGGCAAAGGGGCCCGAGCTACTGAAGTGGATAGTAGCTGGAATATGACGTAGATTAGATTCGGACCCTCTGCCCGTTGCCCAGTGAACTGATCCAGGAAATTGGCTCGACCATTGTAAACAAACGGTCGGTTGTACGACAGCCGCTCTCTCATGCTGAAGCTGACCGGTGGATCCGGCGTCGTATTTGCTGTGGAGCTGCATGGCTGTCGCTGAATCGTTCGGGGAATGCGCAAACGACTTCCGTTAATATGGAGCCCACGGTATGGTAAAGATGAGTGCTGCCTGGCGATGTGCTTGACCCGCACCTAAGCGTTGGATGCAGGCGAGTGGCAATTCAGCCACTCTCCGCCACCACCCCAAATCATTTTGCAAAACTACTCCCCTGGAACGATAAGTTTTCAAGTATTCATTTTTCGTGCTTTGTACCTCTATAACGTCATTAAGATCGTGCAGTAAATGATGAAGAAACCCAGTTTGCATGGCAATGACCTCATCACCAGCTGGCAGGTTATCGCGAGCCGCATTTCCTTGATGCGCCACATTTAAGACCTGAAGGGGCGCGTTATATTTATTAACTGCACTGGCGCGGTGGAGGGCAGGTGGTTGGGGGGCGGGCGCCGGTATTACCGATTTGTGACAGCACTTAAGTAGAATTAAATGTAAGCAGCGTGATGGTCTGAAACGCTATCCTTAAATTAGCGTCTTATCCAGGTTTGAAGAGAAGTGTGTGATTGGAATCCATTTTTTGCAACCTGAGACGGCGATCACAGAGTATCATGGGATTAAGTGGCCATCATCAACGGAGAGCAGTATTTGACGGCAAGATCAAGGAGGCATTACACATGATATCAGCTAACAATGCCATCAGCAAGCCAAGTATAGACATCCTACATCAGTGTAGTATGATACTCATTCCTTCAAGAAATCACAAAATATCCAGGAGATGAATAACATCAAATTACACCATCAAATATTGTCTCTCAGTTAGCTCATTTGGTAGAGCTCTGGTTTTCTCATCAGGAAGACCCCAGTTCAAATCCCAAGAACTACAAGGAGAGAATTTGGACTGTGGTGCATGTATGACTTATAGCTGAGGATTATCCAGTCATTCTTATGAAACACCTAGCAATGACCAAAGGGTTAAGTGGCCAAAACATGTGCTTCCTAACACACCAGGTGATGATAGTCTGAATGATTATTCCATATGTTAAATGAGTGATCAAGTGGTGGTCTGATGTATTGGAAAAATGAAAGCTGCTGCCAGTGTTGTTCTGACTTCATGCTTGTGAGAAGGATTTTTATGTATGTTCATGACCCTGGTCTCTGCACCACAAATATGTGAGATATTGGCATAGTTTCGCAAAATGAATTGGAAGGCTGATCCATGAAATGTTTAAATACCTCTGAAGTACATTAACACATGGGTTCATCCATGGATATTGGCAACCTTCTTCTCAAAGTTTGGAGAAATCAGGTTGTAGTGGTTGGAACCCAACCAACTGAACAGAAAACTACACCCCTGACTTGAACTGAGATTCGGGAAAACCCACTGACTCTTTTGGTGGGGGCACGCCATCCACTCTGCTGTCATATAGCTTCAACATAATTTTATGAAGACTAGATAACTCAATGCACTGAGTAGATAAGTGCAATATATGCATTTAGACAGTGACTGGTATCAAGCTGTGCCAATAGATACTGCATACTTTTGTTTTCCTCTACCAACTGAGTACCTGTGTGGCATTTGGGTGACCCAGTTTTGTCAAGAGGTCACCATGCACAGGCCCCTCCAAATCTAACCAGGAGGATAGTAAATGTATTTGTTAATTTGTAATGCATGACTGGATTGAAGGATCTTGAAAAATTTGGACCCTCAACTACTGCTGATTTGAGAGATGGCTCACAAAGTTTGAATTTGATGGAATGGGGTCTGTCTCAGCCTAATGTCTTTGCTACAATAGCAATATGAGATTGGGATGAAAATAAGTATGGATGACATATTCCAAAAGTGTGCTTTGTGTATTGAATGATCTGCATAACTTGATCTCTTTGTGTTATGCAATGGTTAGTTTGTTTTTGATTATAGATGTAATCCTGTAGATTTTAGACTTTACTGTTCCATGCTTAGATGATTCCACTGTTACTTAGGCCCCTGATGGGATTTGAAGAATCATTACAAAAGATTGTGTTCACCTGATTATCACATAGCCACCAATGTATGATCATTCTATCTTCCAGCAGTTCACTAGGAACATATCAAAGATGAGTCTGCTCTCTTCACCAAAGGTCATTGGAGTTCTTAAATCAGTGTCTTACTGCAAACATTTACATATACAAGTCCTGGCCTGTTCCACATTAAGAAAGGCAAACTTGATAAAACATCTTAGTCATGGTATGCAGCAAAGATATTATGCTGAGCAGAAGCCAGTAAACAAATCAGTATCAAAAGCTCCAGGTGCTAACATTGGGGATGCAAAGCCAATCACTTTCAAGGAAAAAGGTAAGATGTGAATGCATCATATTAACGTAGTGCTTGTCATAATACGGTAATTTGTGTCATTGACTCATAGGCTTTCATTGTGGTGTTGTTGTTATTGAAGACCAAGATCACATAATTTCTTCATAGCAGTAATTCAGTCACCATTGGTTGTTTTGTAGTATCCACAACTTGAACCTTGTTGGGAAGTATTCTTCTGATTATGTGTCAGCCACAGAGCTGCACTCATATGAGCATAAAGCATCAGTCTCAAAAGTAAGTAGACTTAGATTTCTGCACATGCATGTCATCCGTTCCTCAACCTACAGTGAAGGAGAACACGAAGACGACCTGGTACGGCCTTCATCATGCTGGGCGGCCTGGGCGTCACCAGCGTCATGTTCTACGCCATCTTCCGCGAGCTGTTCAGCAGCAAGAGCCCCAACAGCGTGTACAGCACGGCGCTGCAGCGGTGCGCCTCCGAGCCGCGCGTGACGGACGCGCTCGGCGAGCCGGTCAAGGGCCACGGCGAGGAGACGCGCCGCGGCCGGCGCCGCCACGTCAGCCACCTGGTCTACCAGCAGGACGGCCACAACCACATGCGCATGAAGTTCTACGTCAACGGCAGCCGACAGGCGGGCACCGTGTACCTCGATGTGCGGGAGGTGAGCGCGGTTGTGCTGTCGGAGGCTGTACGTGCGCGTGACAGGCGAGCCGTTGGCTATTCGGTTTTAAGGGCGCGTCAAATGTAATGGTTATTTGCGCCTGACCTGGTTGGCTGGACGTAGGCGTGGGAAGTGAGCACGGTATGCTGTCGTGGGCCGCACGTAGGCGTGACAGGTGAGCACGGTAGGCTGCACGTGGGTGTGACAGGTGAGCTTGGCATACTGTCGTAAGCTGCACACAGGCGTGACGGATGAGCGTGGCATGCTGTTGTGAGCAGTTCATTGGCGTGACAGGTGAGCACGGTATGTTGTGGATTGGACGAATGCGTGACAGGTGAGTATGGTATGCTGTTGTGGGCCGCGCATAAGCGTGACAGGTGAGCACGATGTACGGAGAACGAGGGTTAGCACAATCTAACTTCACTGGCAAGACAGAAATTAGGGTGAGCCCAAGACTTACAGACTAGATACATTATTAGTCACGAATTTGTAGTCGGTTGTCACGGCGTAGCCGCCCGCCTTGTTATTCCAGTACTGAACTGGTTTCGGATGTACGTCCTTTACAGCCGTTTGTCCCAGACGTGCATTGAATAATGGTGTATTGTGAACAGCTTGCCGCGTTTAGAGAGGCAAGGTAGCACAGGCCCGGTAACGACGCCGACCATGAGTTTGAAATATTCCAGCTTGAGCCATGTCGATGTGAGCCGACCCTCGTGCACTGAATGCAAAGAATGATCGTTGATGCGTCGAGCGCGGCGGTGCCTCCGCCGGCTCGTAACCCGTCCCCCTCCCCCTGCCCAGAACCCCGACACCGGGAAGTACGAGTACCGCTACCTGTTCGTCGAGGTGGACGGCCTGAGCCGGCGTGTGATCGTGCTGGAGGACAACCGGGCGGAGGAGCGGCGCGCGCTGCCCCAGCTGCCGCCGCTGCGGGACTACTCGCAGCCTCGGAGCGACGCGTAGCACCGCCGTGTCGCCGGCGAGGGAGCGGGCGAACTGTCGCGACAGAGGTCTACACTGCCGTACCAGTGGCGGCGGGGGCGCGCGCGGTAGCGAAGGCTTTGTGATGTTTCTGAGGACGGTGAGCTGCTTGGATCGACTGCGGACCTGCTCCAGATGCCTATTGTTCGGGGGAGGGGTGGGAGAGTGAGGCGGCTCTCAACGGGTGGCTGTGTGCCGCGTGATTTGTGCGTGTGGTGCTCTTGTAAAGCGTACGGTGATTTTGTTGTTATGTTGCATTAAATTTTGTACCAGGAGAACTTCTGTGGAGTCACCGAGCTGTTCAGGACACCAGGAATGTTGTGGGTAGTCTCCTTATTCCGTCAGAGTCTGACGTACCCGGCATGCCTCTGGTCCTTACGTGGCCTGACGGTCTCTCTAGGTCGTAGGAACTACGCTGGCACCGGGTGGCGTGTGGGCTCCCTGACTGTTTAGGAATCACCAATCCCTCCCCGAGCCTTAACACGCCATGCGAACCCGCCTGGGCTCTGTTCATCGCGACTAGACACGACACGTTGCACTGGGGAGTGGTTGGAAAACAAAAAGCGTTGCATGAATCTCAGGAAGGGGACGACTGCACATTTGGACATTCAGTACCTTGGACAATATGAGCGCCTCCCTTAGGAGCGTGTAGCTTTACCACTACAGCGTAATATGAAAGCTAACAACATGAAAAGTAGCTGCGCTTCCTGCTGCGCCTAAATCGTTTCCGCCGCCATCAAGCTACCTGCCCATTGGAGCCACAACAGTCGCGGTCTACGAGTTAATAAGACGCATTTTCCCCTCGTCCCCCATTATGGATGTACTGACCCGGCCGCTGTTTGCCGTGCACGGTTAGGAGACAATATGAACAAAAAGGCCGTGTCTACCGTTGCAAGATTAACGTTGCCAGCGAATAGTGCTCCCACGATAACATCGTTAAAGCAAAGTTGCGCATTCTGCGCACAAGCAAGCTTTTTCTCATTTGGACGCGCACTTTTGCAAATCACTCCAGCCGGCCTGCCCGCATTGACCAATGATGCGCGGTCGGGTGGTTGACCAAAACGCAAGTAAAAATGACGCCCCTTACTGCCAATATCACACCCAATCGTTTAAATATGGTTGTAGCAAGGTCACAACCTTGGCTGGTTGAAGACCGCTGAGCTCACGGGTTTTATCTGTATCACGGGGAGTGTTCCATATTGCTGGGTTTTTTAATTGACCCAGCTATCTTGAAGATTATGCAGTGCAGTCCACCACAGCCCTGTCCGTAAGACCTAAACCTCTTTAGTGTCTGAGCTATACTCCTGCGAAGACATGCAAATTATTTTTTTGGCGGGGGGGGGGGCTATTTCAAGGCCACCCAGGCAACAGGACGCTATGTCAATGTCATTGAAATCCTGTCAGTCTATTGGCCATGCGGCGTTCTAGGTCAATAAAAAGTACAATTGTCGAGTCATGATATCTGACGTTTGTGAGCTTGATTTCCAGACGTAACGGCCGTCAATTGGTTCTCAATTATGTAAAGTGCGATGGCGTGGTCAAACAATGACGCACTAAAAAGCATATTTACGAAACAGAATATGTGTTGCCTTCAGCAGTCTTTTCCACTTAAAAGTATACCAATAGTGGTAAGTGAATTTATACCTTACCTTACCTTATCTTATGGTGATCGGGAATTACAAAAAGCCACTACGCCTGTAGTTCCCGGTCTCGTCGGGCTCCCGGTCCGGTAACCAATATCAAATTATGGGAAGATTCAGTGTAGGACGTCGCACATGATATCAGCCCAGTGCATATCAAGCCTAGACTCGAACTGTTCAACTGAGGTCGACGACACGACCGGGTGTGGAAGAGCATTCCAGTCGTTGACAAACCGCGTGCTGAATGAGTTACGACGGACGAGGGTCCTAGCTCGAGGTTTTCTGAGCCTCCATTGGTGTCCTCTCGTCACCTCCGAGTTGTGCCTTGTCAGGAACTCCTCCTCCGACAGCGACATACATCCGTGAAACAGCTGGTACACTGTTACCATGTCTCCCCTACGACGACGATAGCACAGCGAGGGCAACCGAAGGGGTCTGAGCCTCTCATGGTATGGCTGGCGCCTCACTTCATAGACAAGCCGGGTAGCTCGTCGCTGAACCCGTTCCTGCCGCTTCTGGTCCAGTTTGCCGAACGGGTTCCAGATGACGTTGCCATACTCTAAGTACGGACGTGCTAAAATCTTAAAAAGCAATAGCAACGTGCGAGGACCGATATTGGCAAGAGACCACCTCACGACCGGCAGCATCTGGTTGGCTTTGGGGATCGCTTCCGCCGTCTGCACGTGGAACTGGAGCCGGTAATCCACGAAGATCCCGAGGTCCTTCTCGGTGGACTCGACCGCGATTTCGGCGCCGTCCAAGAAGTACGTCAGCCTCGGGTTGCAGTTCCCGATATGCGTTATTTTGCACTTTGCTGCACTAAAGGGGAGTAGCCACTCCTTTGACCTCCTGGCCAGGGCGTGGAGGTCAGCCTGCAGAGGTGAGTTAGTTAGGGGCCTCGGGGCACGACAGTAGATCTTGGTGCCATCCGTCAACATCTTGACCACGCTTCGCGTTTGTTCTGGCAGATCATTCAAGAAAATTATGAGCAGCGTTGGTCCAACTACTGATCCTTGCGGGATGCCGCTGACGACGTCGGTCCAGTCCGACTTCGAGCCCTGGACCCGCACTCTCTGCATCAGGTGGGTAAGAAAAGCCCTGATCCAGCCTAGCAAATTATCTATCACATCGTAAGCATGAGGCTTGGAGAGCAGACGGTTATGAGACACGGAATCAAAGGCTTTGCTGAAGTACAAGTACGCCACGTCCACCGGGTTTCCATCCTCTACCGCGGCGCTCCAATCCTCCATGACCTCTAACAGCTGCGTGGTACAGGAGCGCTTAGGGAGCAACCCATGCTGGACTGCATGAAGAAGTCCAGACTCCGAGAAGACTTATTTCATCATGTTTGACGCTTGCTTCAGCATCCTCAAATGTGGAGCAATCCGTTTAAGGGTTAAGCGCTGAGTTTTACGAAGTAGTCGAATTGTAAACAAATCCTGTGTTTCGTCGCAGATACGTCATATTTGGCGCACAGCGACACGACAGTGCTTTACGGCCTTGACGCTGATGTTATGTCATCGTGAGTGTGCGGGTTCAAGTACTTGGTATTCAGGTGGTGCCAGAGCGCCGCGAGCATTGGTCATTAGTTGCGGGAAGGATACGGAGTGCCTGGAAGAAGACTTTGGTGTGAGGCTGGTAAGCATTTCATATTATGTAATTGCGTGACATTCTCAGGAAAGTGTCATGACAGACTAGGGGCAGTTTTAACATAAGGGGACTATCAAATCGAAAATTTGATTTGATTTCAGGAAACCAAGGGCTTTCATTTAGTCAAGAGTGCCTATAGGGATAGGAAACAAAATTCATGAAGTAACATTGGTAGCATGATGGGGGTATTAGCCCTGTATGGGGGTATTAGCCATGAAAACCCACAACAATGCAGACCTTAATGGAAGGTCTGCATTGTTGTGGGTTTTCATGGTTTACCTGTGTGGAAACTAAGTGGGTCATAGGTTTTTAACTAGCATTTGTTGTCTGTGATGCCTACTCAAGTTAATGTATGTGATATGTGAAAGCCGTGGGATTGGCCAGATCCTCTGACCATGGTCTTGGTGGGGAGAGAAATGGTTGCTATATATGTTGGTTATCTCTCAAATGAAATTGCTTGCAAATATAGGCCTTTGCAAAACCAGGGATGATTTCTGTTATCAATTATGTATCAACAACATAAGGTCAGAGAGAACATGGTAGATGTTGCAAGCGGCAGCAAAACTGTTGATGGAAAATATGTGACAATAGGGGCAGATGTGGCAGATTGGCAGAGTTTTGTAATATGGCTACAAAAAGGCCTTCCTTTCTTCAGTCAGACAGAATCATATATATATATATATATATATATATCAGCTGTATATACTATGGAGCCTTGAATATAAGCCCCTCATCCGGAGGCACAGCCAGGATAGATTAGCAGACACCAGAGATGATAATAGGTGCTATACTTAGGGTATCCATAAGATATATGTTAGCTTGCCCTAATACCTCAATTAGTTCTCTCTGCTGTGCTCTTTGCATGGTCACTCAGCTATATGCTAGTCTTTTTACTCATTTGTGGCTAGTTGACTCTGCATGTCAATGCTCTCAGAAGTGGCCAGTGTTTAAAACCAGATTTTTTTCCCAATTGTAAATTTTTTTTGGTTATGTTAGGAGTGTCATGGTGTAAAACTGCCCTTTAACCTGAATGGAGGTGGTGGGGAGGTGGGGTGGGCAGGCTAAGGCCTTATGGGTGCCCTTTGGCTGTGCCATTGCCCTAATTCCATTCAAAATCAGTCATCCCTGTACAAAAACTATCTGCAAGTTAAGGCATGAATGGGTATATGCAATTATTGATCAAGTCTTTCACAAAATCCAAGCCTAGTTATTCCTGAAAAGTCCCTCTCCATCTCGAGCTCAGTTCAACAGAGCACACATATATATAGAGGGAATGCTGCATCAATAGTACAGAACCCAAGGGGTGCATAGGATCAAGTACATTGTTTTCTAAAATGATTTGGGAGGGGAGGGGTTAGTTTTGATTGATTCAAATTATAGAACCTACCCCTGAAATATGCCAACAAACAGGTCCCCCCCCCAGATTTGGTCCACTTTCTTCCCAAGGAGTTGGCTGAGGGGCTGGAGACCCACTAAACTAAATAGGGAAGTATGTCCCTGCTAAGAATGTCCTTGGACATCTAGTGTTTTTTCAATGATACTTTGGGCTTCAAGAGGGCCAGGGGCAATGGCTTGATCAGTAGCAACAAGGGGACCCAATAGATAGGGCAGGTAGCCCATTGAAAGCCCTTGGTTCCAATGACAATGAAGGAAGCACAGGGCCACTGCCAGGGAATGTGAGACAACTGAGTGCTCCTGTAGGTCCGAGGAAGAGTAAGGAAGACTTTGTCAGTTAGTTGTCACTTGACACAGCTAAGAGGTTCCTAAAAATAATCATAGAATATGTGGGGGGCCATTTAGTGATGAAAAGATGAGGAGAAGGCTCAAAGAGTTCCATGTATTAGAGGGTTCCAAACATGATGATGGAAACCGGAGAAGACAAAAAGTGTGGAGGAAATGGAGGGGCCCATTGGATGGTCAGGAAATCTTAAGAAACAAATTTCCTGTTTGGTCTCCTGTTAAATGCATCTGACAGCTGTCTGAGT